ATCAGGAAATAGATCAAATTTTTTAGACTATGAAGGAAACATCTTATGGTTTTATACTTGTACTAAAAAAGTATCACCACTATACGTTTTTGAAGATAAACGATGCTATAAAAGAATCCCTATCTTTTATAAGAATAAAGTACATTTCGTTGACACACTTTCACGAAGAACCTATTTCTGGGATACCGCAGTTCCATGTGGATCAGAAAATAGCCACAACGTAGTACAACTAAACCCTGATGAAGATAAATATTACCTTCTCACCCCATATCCCACATTAATGCAATCACTCAAAAAATTTTCACCAGAAAGCATTCGCGCTATCGCTCGAAACCCAAATATAGACTTACAATCAATAGGAATATACTCAAAATCAGATATTCAACATCACATTAGAACACAACAATTCCAGGAATTATTAACACAAATGGACACAATACAAAGACAATCAATTGACCAAAACTTACGCAAACTTCCAGGATTTGCAGACATCTATACGCAAGACTATAGCGGATATTTTAAAGACATTAAAGATTATATATATCTAAACGGTGAAAAATACCGTCCCCAAGATATATCACCTATCAATATTTTTAGCTTTGTTACACTCAAGAATGAAATTCTTGATTTTCTAGGATGGCCCTACTACATCTTAGAAAAACTGACTATTTTATACGCAATGTTTAACTTTATTGGATTTCTTTTTTCACTCTTAAAAGGAATCTATAACACATGTGCTATACACACACAAGTCAATAGACAAGCAAGTGTAGCACGCATACTATTTGCAGGATTTTTTGGAATATTTTCTACATCTATAAACAAAATTCTTTTAGACGCACAAATAAAAGAATATAACACAAAAATAGCAACAAGACAGAACACATACGACGAAGAACATAACAATGCAGACACAACACCAACAGCACCACAGTTACCACCCCTACCACATAACCATCCATTATCCCTAGTCCCACGTAATTTTCGAAATTTAGCCATAACACATAATAATTTTAGACCAACCATATCACAAAGTCCCATCCAACATATAATGCCACACCACTCACAAGATGAAAATACTTATGAACAAATTATAGAACAACCCCATACCACCGCTTTTCAGTCTCAAAATAATAATTTTTTTAGCCCACGATGAGCCGACAACTTGGATCCCTACACCGATCAAATTCCCACCCAACCAACCTCACCACTCCAATCCCAATAATACCACTTTTTGCTTTTCCGCCACCCGATTTCCCATCCAGTAATGTAACATCCGGCATGAATTCCGATACTAATTCACACATCTCAGTTTTATACTCCATCTCACAACTCAATAACCCGAATATTGAAACCCCCGATGAATTTGCCGACTCTGAACCATCTCCATCAAATAATTTTCACACCAATCCCTTAAATTTTTCCCAACCCCCTTTTCAACCCATACTACCAAATAACCCTGACCCAACCAATTCTACACCCTCTTATGCTTCCCAAGTCACTCCAACCTACTCCTCACTTCACTCAGACCAATCATCTCATTCTCCAGACACCCCCCGAATCTCCCCAGAACTAGATAATTTCATTACCCTACAACAACAACCCTATCACCTTGACACCCCAACCATAAACCAAATCTCATCCACAATAGATTCATCCAACCCTCCTACCCCTACACCCTCTTCAATTTATACTGAATCATTAGCACCATCATCCACAACTACTGAATCTTCACTCAGCACTAATAGAGCTTACCGCACTTTTAAAAGGAAGTTCCCCAACCATCCTTTCCCAGCGAAACCAGGAACAGCCCGTGAATATATCAACCATCCACAACACACTAACACAAAAGAATTTTTAGCTATCACCTTACCCTCATTTCCACAATACACCTTAAACACCCCTCATGACACTAACGAGACACGTAACTTTGTAGACGAATACGTTTTAATGCCTACCCTTCCTTGGACCTCATATTATCATTTTACAAATCCCCTTTGCTTACCTTTATCTAACACTCATATCGATATAGAACGAAATAAGGACATGCTATATCGACTCACTACACCACTAACACCTAGACAATTTACTTACATTGGATATAAAAAATCACTAAAAACACACACTGCACCCCGAGCTAATGAATATACACTAGAATATTACGATCATAACATCATCAGAACTAACCAAGATCAATTCTTAGACGACGATCGCTTCGCTAACCCACAAATCACCGAGAAATTTTTCATTTAAACACCATATGTATTTACACTAAATATCTTCGATCGCAAGTTTGACCACATTATTTCAGAAGCACTAACAGACACGCAAGCCTACGAAAGTTTTAAAGAACGCTTCCAAATATTTTCACTAACCTTTCATTTCCTTGCACCACATGAAAGAGATTTGCACTGCTCACACGATATTATGTTGCGCACTAAACAAACACACACATATACTTATTATCGTTTCATCCAAAATCACTTTGACCTACACACTCCCTCCAGACAACCACACCATCGTTTTCAATTCATCAATTCCAAATACACCTCACCATTCTTTCTTAACTTCACATATTGCATTAAAGATACTAACCTTCATGGTATTCTTCGAAATTATGATCCCATAACCCAAATGTATATCTTTTGTCCCATCACCAAGACCTTCAACGCAGAAGAATCCCGACCCTTCCTCATCCCACACGAGTTTGTACAACCTATAGAAATCCCCATTTTAGAATTCATCCATAACACTAAATTCAACCACAAATTATATAATCTAATCCAAAACACACCTTATGAATTTGCAGTTGGCACTGAAGAACTAACCACCATTAAGGCACTTCAATTGCTTTGGCCACTGCTTCAAACTAAAAATATCATCCGCATCTTAGCCAAATTACTAACAACTTCAGATCTCATCCACGACATCTTCCCCCACGGTTTCTTCCCCGACGACTAACAGGTAAGTATGAATTATACATATTACTAACTAATTTAAATATTAGAAACTCACCATTCTTTATCCATGTTTTCTTTAGAATTTTAGCCTTCATCCTAGATCATCTGAAAAATTCACAAAAGAAAAATAAAAAATAGCAAACTTCTTCAAAACTGTTTAAAACCCTATTAAATTTTTGCACCAACAATTAAATAAATATAATACCAATGCAGTAAATTAATTTATAAATTTTTCCCCCACAAGCAGTAAATCTAATAATGATGAAAATTTGTAACTTAATTTCCCCCAACAACTAGCAGTAAAATTAAAATTCTATGTAGTAAATTAATAAGAAGCAAATACAGTACTAACCTTTTGCTATTTTCATTCACTCGCACAAGAATTCTATCCAAACTCGCACAGCTCGCCCACGAAGAATTGTTTAAAATAATGAATTTCAGTTTCAAGCTTTCACACTCGATAACTCTAACACAAGATAACACGTTCAAACTTTCCTTTAACCCGGTTGGAAAGGAATTATATACTAAACAAAACTAACCAATGCAGCTTACTAAACACCACAACACATAGCATAACAGCATGACTAAGAAAAGGAAACCAACGGTACCCAAACCGGATTAACCCAGTTTAAAACTGGATAATTTATTCTTTTGAAGACTATTATAAAGTCTAAGAAAGAAATAATAAAACACAAAAAAGTCGAAAGACAAACCCATACCACAAACAATTTGATTTTTGAAAAAAGGACACAACCAACAAAACATAAGAAAAACCACAACAAACCCAACATAAAACGTTGTCACATAACAGGACCTCTCACAAAAACCGCATGCAATCATACTCCCACTCCTGGCCTAACCCACCAGGAAGGACGTCCTGAGCATGCTCTATAGCCGGCCTAACCCACCGTGCTACATCCACGCTTTGTGACCACACTCCTATTTTTAATAAGAGCTACTCAAGGGTGAGTAACTCTTCAAAATAACTGAACTAAAACAAAAAGCTTTTGTGAAAACAACTAACTAAAATCATAATTAAAAAATATTAAACTAATAAAAGTTTTATAAAATGTAAATTACATTATGCAATACATAGATCAGAATACAACACCAAGGACGAACAACCAAAGACAAAACGACCCTACTACACTCGAGAAAGAATGGCCAACTACAATCAATATGCCGCCCACAATCACAACTCAAAGGATTTAGAGTACGACTTGACTTCGCAGAAAAGGACTTCATTGAACTAGACCAATGACCACCTCGATGTTCAAGTATACGTACAGATCCGAGTAACCAGGCATCCCCTCCACGCACAATCTCCACGCCATTCCCAGACAAGGTCAAACACAAAGAAGTTCTCACCAATGAAACAGAAAAACCTGACATAGCCAACCATTCTGAAATCAGATTTGAGTTTGTTGCGAAAACCCAGTCGTTGTCTTGAGAAGACACAACGATTGAATCTGGGACTTCTCTAATAAGAAAACCCAGAAGAAATAAGATGTTCGCCAAATACCAACGTCCATCATCCATCTTTTGAATTGCAGAAAGACTATTCTAAAAAAAAAAAAAACTCTGTAAAACCCGGATGGGTGGAACCTGATCTAAACTACATTTTATGATTGGATAAATTAGATATTTTACCAATGTAAAGTATTTAATATTAACCAATCATGATCCATCTAACTAACAATCCACTTATTTGTAAGTGCTGAAATTACTTGTAATTTCAGCACCAGAGAGATTTGAATTTAACTTAGAAATTAGTTGAACTCTCCCGAGTACTTCAGCAGCCGCAATAAACCAGTATACCCTAGATCTATTGAGCCTAGCAGAGACTAGTTAAACAACCTGAGACTAGATAGTATAAGAGTAAGATTAGGATCGGTATTAGACTAAGAAGTTGCACGAATCTATCCGGCCGAAAATAAGATAGCGTGACGAGCAGACGGTGTACCCTATCCGAAATTACTCTATGAGTTATACCCATCGGTCCTAACTCAAAGAGTTAGGGTGCGTATCTTTATGTTTTAGGGTGGATATCGGCACAGTGAACAGGTCTTCGCCTGTGTTCCAGCGTCTGTTCCTTATCAACCTGTTCACGAGTGTGGACGTGGCAATTCGAGATGGTACACTCTACTCCAACACCATCTGTGACAGGGGACCGCCATACAACCAACAAGTTTGTCCTGCTTGATAATATTATCCCCCCCCCCCCCTAATCGACCAAGTAAAAATTTTCCATTATACTCCTTAAAAACCCCTTTTTTGCAAAGAAAACGGTGACTGGAACATTCTGTGATAAAGCAATCGGTTATTCTTGTCTTATTTTCCATTTTTCACTTCCAACTCTTTTGATTTTCTTGAAAATTATTCGATTTTTTAGGTGAAGAGATTGCGAGAATGTGAGAAACTGCTGGTCGCTATAGAACTATCTGGCATGCTCAATGACGCCCCTCTCGCATTCCAGGCCATAGTTCTCTCCTATGGCCTCATAGTGCCCATGATCCAGAACAAACTACCGTCCGTGCCAGTTGCCCAGATACTACTCCGCATCCACGCTGTGTTGACGGAACTGCCAGCCAACCTTCGAATTCGGAAACAGCAGTCGATCACAGACTGTATTTCTCACATGATAGCCTGTATCACTTTTCATACCGCAAGGGTGAGTTCTCAAGGCCATTATCACGAATGAAGAGATTTGAATTCAAAACATTTTTCACTCTACATTTTTTTTAAAATTCGCTCGATTTCGAAAATTTCAATTAGTGTGTTTTGTCTTTTTTTGTTCTGATGTCAAATTCAACTTTCTTCCTGAAAAATCTAGAAAAATTTCCTTTTTGTGTGGGTTTTCCTATAAATGATGCTACGTGCTACCACTAGGGTTTGTGGTCCCTTTTTTTAAAGACTCGAAAAACGTAAGCCGAATTCTTAAAGCATTGTGGAATCCAACGCGACGTTGGGTGAAATTTGCTTCAATGGCCAAAATTTTTTGTCTTTAGGTTAAGATTCTATAATTTGACGACATTTTGAGTAGGCATCTTTTGTTATCCATGGACAAAAGCCTCTAAAACATTGATATCATTTGTATTTGAAACTAGAGGCATTGTGGTGGCAAACTTTTGTGCTTGTTTATACAATTTATTGGTATCGTAACCTGCGCATTCTCCTTACTTTTGTGACTTCTCAAATGGTATGATTATTAAACAGCATGAAGTGGAATTTTCCCAAATCGCACGGTATTAAAATATTTAATTTGGGAATTGTGTCATCTGAAACGTAATTAGCTTATGATGCACTAGATTGTGAACAATTTCAGCTGTTGCGAATTTGGAAGCAGAAACCTCTCGCGCGTGAGATAAATTCAACGGGAAGGAAACTCCTCACGAATGTGGAGAAAACAGCCGCTCAGATTCACCAGGCTGAGTCCCCCCGATCCGGAGGCGGCGCAGGGGGTGCGGGGGCTGGTAGTGCGAACGGAGGCGGAGGATCCCATCGCGACGAGGCTGATGGCGAGGACCAGGATCAGGACCAGCTGGGAGCCGAGGGGAAAGAAGGTAGCTTTCAAGATAAATACCAGCTTTGGAACAGTTTTATCAAAAAAGTGTCAAGCGTAAAGGTTGGAAAAGTGTCAACAAACTCGAGGAAACGGAGAACAAAAAATCATTTTTCTCAGTTACCTTGAGTTTTTTCACACTTTTTCAACTGCCTGTTGGCTGCATTTCATCAAATCACTGTAAAATATTAAATTCTAGACATTTTTGGAAAATTTAAGAATAATGAGCATATAGATTAATGCAAACTTATGGTTCGAAAATAGAAGGCGACAACTTAGACGAAGAACGGAGCCAGGCTGGAGATCCCGCAGCCGCGGCTCAAAGTGGAGCAGCGGGTGGTGAAGCCTCCGGAGCCGCGGGAGGAACAGGAGGTGGAGACGACAACACCGACAAAGGCAGTGTCGCTGGCACTCTCCGCGAGAAGGATCCGGCCAGAAATGTGACGATCGGAGGTGTGGCGGCTCCTCGGAAGGCGCTGGAGGTGACCAAGCAGCCAGGAGGGGGGAGGGGGAAGAAAAGGGATGCGGACCAGAGCGATGAGTTGAGGGCACTTCAGGCGAACATGCTGAGACTGTCTAGAAATAGTGAGTCACAGTTGCTATCTAAAAAAATTTGGTCCTGCCCGTTATTGCCGCCCATTTAATTACGAGATGAGAAATACATAGATTTTTTTCTGGTATCTTAAGTCCAATTTACTCAATAGGCATCAATAATAACATGCTCATCAAATAATATCAGAATCTATTAATTGAATCAAATCGTGGATGCAGTTTAAATCAATCAAAAATAATTAGATACATGCTTTTCTTCGATTGATTAGAGAAAAAAGGTAAAACTCAATTTGTTTTCTAGTCCAACCATCCGACGAATTGTACGGAACTGAGGATCCGATAGTATTGCACGCATACGTGGCCAGTCTCCCCGCCAAGGCCGCCTACAAGGAAATCAGCAAGTTCAAAAAGAAGCCTGCCTTCCTTCAGTTTCTTGTTCAGGTTCGCAATTTGATTTTTGCGTCTCATTTTCATTACGCATGCAATTTTTAGCAAGTGAAGTCAAATCAGCTTAATGACTTTTTCCAATCAAACAAGTGGTCTAACACAATCATTGAATCCTTTCGAATGCTTTCCTAATTATAAATTCAAATTCCACGTGTCTCGTTTGGCACTCTTGGCCCAGCGGTAGAACAATGCAGAAAAGGTTTTGAGTTTAAATCCGGCCAGGAGCTGCTTCTTTTCCAAACTCGAAAAATATCCCGTTCGGAAAAAAAACATTGTCGGCTTATCGTTTGTCCGTCTGCTTATTTTTGTCGGTTTAGTTGCCACAATGCAGAATTGTTTTTTTTTTATTATTTAAGCAACTTCCACTGTAATTGAAAATCGATTTGTTTAATTTCTGTAATTTTTATTTTACCTAGCCCTGATGTATAATTTCTCTATTAGTTTCTTGCTTAAAAGGTTTATTTGGTTTGACTGGTTTTGGCTTAAGTTCTATCGGCTGAGTCACATACTGTTGCGTTGTTTGGTAGAAAATATGTTTATTTTTATATCCTTTCAGAAGTGGAGACGGCTTAAAAACTTTATTATTTCAAAGTTTTCCATGACAACAGTTTTTGTTTTTGATTCAATTGGCATCTACCCAGAAATTTTTGACTTTGTTGCCGCTCAATAAAATTTTCTGAAAGCAGATTTAAAGCTGGAGATTTGTTTCTTAGTCTCTATTCCTTAAAATTGAACTTGTGTGGTATTCGTCTCAATTTTTGTCTACCAGCTTGCAGTTTTAATTTTATTTGGTATTGCGGGTGATGCGTTCATTTGGCTGAAGGTCTTTGCGTTCCTTGACTCTTTTCCAATTATCTATTGTCTATGTTTTTGAGAGTCGATGAACGTATTTCAAATTTTCATATAGGCTCTTATAATTTTTTAACGTTTTTTTTGTCAAGAAAACTCTTTAAATGCTCTTTTCTTTTACAGAAATGCTTTTATGCTGAGAAATGCATCTCTGAATGATTCTAGGTATATTTGTACTATTTGATTACAATTCAATTTCATCTGCTAAAAGTTAGGTAAATTGTGCTCTTCAATTACCAAAGTGTTAAGGTCACGAAAAACGTGATCGACTTCTTGTTTCGAAAGTTGAAATGACTTTCAGATTTCGCTGCGGAATTAAAATTTTTCTCATTGCTCTAGTTAATTTTATCAAAAAAGTTTCAATAGTAAATTCGTTCATTTTGAAAGTCAAAGAGCATTAAGGTTTTTCTATTTTTCTACTTAGAAATTTCAAAGTTGCAAAGTTGCAGTTTTCTTTAAAAAAAACTAGTCAGTTTTGATTCTCTTCTCATCAATGCTTTTTCCAATTCTGGCTTATGGTTTTTTGTTCTGCTTTGCAAGTAATTCAAAGCTCCGTTTTAAGTCTTATTACACTTGTGAGAGCATGTGTCTTCTATTCGGGAACTTGAATTTTTCCATTTAACATTTTTTTTTTCAAATCTTAATCGTTTTTCTTATTTGCCTGATTATTACACTAGCCTGTTTTAGTGGTTGTAGTGCAATAGGTGCCACTTTTGGTGGCACTTTTATGGCTTTTTGATTGCATGTGCTTTCCCATTCGTTTAGCTATAAGTTAACACAGTTGATGCATTCTTAGCTTATCAAATGAACCAAAAAACCTATTTGTATCAAACAATATAACAATAAAAAAAACTCGATTTGAGAAAATTTCTAACTCAATAAATAACTCAATTTTATAAAATGCATACTTTATATAGAATGTGATTTATGATTTTTAATTTTTTTTACATGCAAATTTAGTGTAGTTGAACGTAATTCAGACTCTTTTTTAGCTCGTGATAATTTTTTTTAGGAAAAGTTAAAATTTGTTCAGGTCCAATTTTTTTTTCGAGGTTTGACTTAAAATAGTTTTTTAAGTTAAGTTCATTTTTTTGTTAAAAGGAAGGCAAACTCCATTATCAAACAGGGAAATTGTAAAGTTCGCGAAAAACAGGATCGACTTCTAATTTTGAAAATGGAAATTAATTATCAGATTTCCCTGCTACAGAAAATTTTATCGATTGATTCAGTTTTCTCAATTTGGGTTAATTCAATCAAAAAAGTCATAAATTGTTTTAGAAATTCAATGAATTTTTAAGGCCATCGATTTTTTTGGAAATTCGAAATAGTAAATTGAAAAATTAAATCAGTATTTTTTTCTTTTTAGTAGCGTTCATTGACTTTTTCTAGCTGTCTATTGGCAATGTTTGTTTTGTATCGCAAGTGGTGCGAAGCTCAGCATCGCTTCTGTCTAATTAATGTTTTCTTCTAGGTGGTGTCCAAAAGTATTTCCGAAGGCAAGGCTACCGAGGCATTGGACTGGTGTGACGATGCATTCTCGTGGCTCACCAGGTAAGAAATTGGTTGGAGGAAGATGAGTGTAATGCGGCCTACCCTGTCTTCCAATGGGAGTTTAATTTGTTGAAACATTCAACACTATTCTTTCCAGTGATATAATCGATGTAATTGTTAATACGGTAGGGATATCAGTTCAATTGGTTTTGTGCAAATGGGATGCCAAGCCGTAATTTTATTTCTTTTTTGCTTTAGAATCACTAAAAAATTATTAAAAATGTTATGTTGAACAACAAAAGATTCTGATTAGACAATTTTGGTCCTTCGAGTTTCCTATCGTATGTAGGCTCTGATCATCCGAAAATTCAGTTTACCAATTTGCTAATTAGTTTTTTACCCATCTGACGATTACTTTTTTCATTTGATAGTCGACCATACGTTTTCAGGTGGTACATAAGCACGCCGTAATATACACCATCTGGAGTATAAACTAGCCAAAATTTGGGATGTTACATATTATAGTTGTAATATTATCGTACTAATTATATAACAGAAGAATAATTCAGAATTCGATGTGTGTCCTAATGTTCCGACGTTTTTTCATTCGGCTAGTTTATACTTCGGCTGGTTTTTGCACACTCATTTTCACTCAGGCACAAACTGGAGCTGTTACAAAAATGAAATAATTAACCAGAGAAGATGCTTAATAATCATCGCTAGATCATCTGCTCATTATTTTTAGCAGGTCTACTGATCAACTAAAAATCACCAAAAGAAGGAAAGTCCAAAACTGTTTTGATTTTGCACCACATTTTTGCATAAGTGTTGACAGGGGCGGATTTAGGGGGGGGGGGGGCGCGGACGCCCCCCCCCCCCCTCAGGGATTCGAACCCCTGCCGACCCAAAGGGTCCCCCCCTTTGATACTTTTTCAGAAATCCATTTTTGGCCGACCGACCCTAAAATTTTTCTAAAGGCGCCTTTGGCGCCAATATATACTAACTTTGAGGGGGAGCGCGCGCCAAAAAAAAACGCTATTTTTTTGTCAAAACTTTTCAAAAAGTGCCCAAAAACGGTTTTTTTGACTGTTTTTTCAAAAATGTGCCTGCGGCGCACAAAATTTTGCCAAAATAGGGGCAAAACAGTGCTTTGGGAGGGCTCGAAAAATCAATTTGGTCGACCTAAAAAAAAAAAAAAAAGGTCGTCAAAATTTTGGAAAGTTTTTTGAAAATCCGCCCCCCCCCCTCGAGAAAATCCTAGATCCGCCCCTGAGTGTTGACATTGTTCACCCTTCGCTAATACTTGAATGAATTAGAATGACGGAACTTTTGCGAAAACATTTCTCCGCTAGTGCGCGGATCGAACCTCAGACCTGAAAACATTCATTCTATTCATTTGTTCACGTCTCCCTCATCAAACATACTGCACACATCGAGTGAAGATTTTTTCATCAATGTTGTTTGGTTGCATCATTTTGTTCACTTCAAACTGGTTTTTTGAAATGATTTCAGTTAATTCCTTCCAAAAGACTGCAATTTTCATAAAGTTTATTTTAATTAGTTTATCATGGAACTAGTCTGCATTATTTTTAGGGGGCGTAGCGTCTTGCATGCGTGCCGCTTAGCATGCGCAATTAAAGTAATACTTTAAAATGTGATTAAACAAACTCGGTTCTAGTTGCGCTAACAGCCGCATGTTAAGCGACACGCATGCTAGTAGGCCGGTCCCCAGTCTTAGGTTTGTGTAATTTTCTAGGCATCTGGCAAAATTGATAAATGTACTCAAACACCATGCAAATATCGATCAGTGTTGTGCCATCTTTGCGTGTGTTCCAGTTATAGTTTTTTCCTTGTGCTACTAAATCATTTCCATCTAATTTGAACCTAGCCAGTGAAGTTTGTTGCTCTTCTGTTTCACCGAAACAAACAACATTTCCTTTTGAATCTATAACTACCTTTTTGCAGTACTGAAACTGCTAAAGACTTTCAGATACTTTTGCTTCGTTATTTTTACAGATTTGTAATTTCCTGCCAAATTTCTATCGAGTTCGACAGACGGGTTCAAAGTTAGCTCTCTCATGCAGTCGATTGATGACTTCAGACAATGTTCAGCGTCATCAAATGAACATTTTATGTTCTGAATTAAACCATCGCGAATCATTTTCAGAGATTTAACTTGTGCTGTCAATTGGTCGAATACTTCCTCAGTCGACAATCGAATTTCGTCGCCCGAATTTGCCTCGCTGATTTTTTCCAATTTGTTTTGACCTTCCTCGACAACTTTCAAAACTTGGCTCATCTCATGTTCGCCGTCTTTAATAGCTGTGGATATTTTTTCAACCGACTCCTTGTATTTTTTTACTTGTTCTGTTGTTGCCTCTTTTCCAATTTCTCAACCCTTTGCAATCAATTTACGAAAAAATGTTAAACGAATGCATAAGCAACCAATTTGCATGCAACATATTATCGGTAGTCCCTAGAAGCAAGAATTGTTTTTTATGAGGAAGTGATTTTTCATTTATTGTTCCAGCCACTGAAATGGTGAGGAACATCTATTCCACGCACAGTCAGGTGCCAAAAATAATCTTGGGAAAGGGTCGAGTGATATATTTTTGAATTTTTCGATTTGTAAAATTTCGAGCGAATAAAATGAACGCGCAAGCTTATAATAGGCTCATAATAGTAAACTTATAATTAAAGTTCAGCCGTAAAAACGAAGTTTTACTCCAGTAGAATAAGTTTCAGACATTTTATAGCGCTTTCTTGAGAATAAGTTTTTTCTCAAAAAAGTTTCTGGCAAATAATTTGAAAACATTTCCGAATTAAATTTGTTTATTGTTCCGACTTTCGATACGAAAGTAACGGAATATTTGTGCTCGGGTCGGGTTTTTTTTTCTTCAGACAAATTTCGACTTTTTAACTAGCCATTTTTGACGGGATTTTTTTTATCATTCGAAAAGTATTGTTGTCCTGAGCTCAAATTTGAAAAGATATTTCACCTGTGATTATTTTTTGTAAAGTTACGGGGGTCTAAAGTTTGCCATTTTGGCCAATTTGGGACAATTAACGCGCGATATATTTCGCGCTATTAACGCGTTATTAACGCGCTATTAACGCGTAAGCGAGAGTTAATCCGTCTTAGAAATCGTTAAAAGAAGCTTATTCGCCATAATTGGTTGGTTACAAGGAGCAAAATCTATCCTTTTGTACTTTGTATGGCGTGTGGGGCGATGATTTTCATAAAAAATTTCAAATTTTGGAAAAAAAAATTTTCATTTTATTTTTTCTTTTATTTAATTTTTTAATGTTATTACTGCTCCATAAACCTTAAAAGGCAGTCGGAACATTCAGGGCTTCGCCCTGATACGAGCAGTCTTGTTCACTTTATGAGGAAATCTGTTGTTTAAGACCACCTAATTTACTATAGTTATTGAACTTCTAGGCTTTCTTTCAAGTCATCTTATCACACCACGAACAAAAACGATGTAATTTGGAAATAAACAGCTTTTTGTCGTGGTCGGCATTTCCTGTGCTGCTCGAAGAACAACCGCTATCATTGTTTCTTCTGATTTTCTTCTCAAATCAAAAATTTGTTTTAGTTTTTGCAGTGGGGATCTATTAGCTTTCCTTGTTGGAGAAACACCAGGTCAGAAAATAGCCTTTTTATGCACAGGAAGCCGGATTAACATCAATAAGTTAGAAGTATGTCTCATTTTCTGTCGGCTAGCTTGCCGTGCTACGTTTGTGATTTTTTGATATTTTTGCCCCTGCCAAAAAATGTCAATCATAACTCTCGATTTATATTTTTTGTTTTTCGAAGAAAGTATCGGAATATTTATGCTCGGGGTTTTTTTTCTGATTCAGGCCAATCAATATTGGCGAACGAAATACTCGTTTTCATTGTAAATTATAAATGCACCAATCAAGATGATGTTTTACTGAGCGCAATTGTAAAATGATATTTCAACTGCGATGAATTTTGGTAAATTCCGAGTTTAAAAATTGCCAATTTGGCCTAACTGTTGACTAATTTAAGCAATTTTTGAAATAATTTATCAATGATGCTCATTGCGTAAGCGCGAAATATTCGAGCGCGCTAATTTGTTCCGCATTGACAACAATTGCAAACTGAATTGAGGCAAGCTGATTGGTCCTATTAACTCCCTACAAGTCTCAATTTATAACACTTTGTCTCTTTCATGCAGACTAAAGATTTTAGCCTAATAATATCCGAAACAAAGTAAAGGGGAGTCGTAATATTGAGGGCATTGCCCTGATACGAGCAATCTTGTTCTTCCTGAAAATCAAAAGTTCAGTCATTGTATTTATGTTTCCAAAGTTGAGGCATTTATGATTGATATCATGAAAATGTCTGCGTTTTTGGCTACCTTTTGAGTTTCACTTTTCGACAAATTGTATGCATTGAAAGAATGCAGAAAAAAAACAACTGAATCAATTTATCTACGACGGAAAGGACCTATATACGAGAGCTCTTCAGCTTTTATTTGCAAAATTCTTTTTTGCATTCTATTGGGACGAACATTATTTTTTTTGTTAGATTATATTGGAAAAGAGAGAGGCCTTTGGTCTCATTGTATTCATCCAAAATCATAGAGAGATGGACTACTTCGTGATTGGTTGATTCCCGGTGATCGTTTCTCCAGCAGACGCGACAGATGAAGTTTTCATGGTCGCATCTTAGGCAAATGTACTCCTTCGGCTTGTTGTGATGAACACATAAGCTTTTGTAATCAATTTCATCCTTGCGGCAATGTTGCGCTCCTGATCCATGTGCTTGAATAGCCTTAAATCCAATTTTTTTTCTTCAAAAAACAAACTTAAAACTAACGTATTTCCGTTTAAAAAATTGAGATAATAAGACGTAATCAATTATTATAATTCTAACTTTCTCTAAATTGGGTCACTGCTGATACTCGTCATTATTCTTTTGGTCAAATTGATTTAAATTTTCAGTTCAGTCTCAACTGAATAAATTTTTTTTTTTGATTTTTTATTTTCAATTTGTTGTCGATTGTTCTTTTTATACACTTTCATTTTTA